CCGTGGGCCGTTTAGCCCAGGCTTGTGACGCGGGGGCCCTGCCCACCACTGAAGTTTTGAGCTGTTGATGTAGATTTCTGCATTGTTCCTTCCATAGCAAAAGGGCTTTCGCTTGGTAGGGGAGGGGAGAGGTCATCTGGGCTTAGAGAACTCGTGAAAAATGCACCGCTTTGTATAGCTGGCTTATGGGGTCTTTGTGGGGCACTTGTTATGGAACTACGACCTCCCTCTCCAAAAGGGCTGGTTTTTTTTTTTTTAAATATATTTTATTGAATTTTCACAGAGAGGAAGGGAGAGAGATAGAGCGCCAGAAACATGGATGAGAGAGAAACATCGATCAGCTGCCTCCTGCACATCCCCCACTGGGGATGTGCCCGCAACCCAGGTACATGCCCTCCACCAGAATCGAACCTGGGACCTATCAGTCCGCAGGCCGAAGCTCTATCCACTGAGCCAAACCGGTTTCGGCAAAAGGACTGGTTTTGACAACCTTCCTTACTGTAGAAACCTTGCTAAGGGGAGACGGAAACCTCATAAGCCAGTGGTTATCAACCTTCTGGCCCGTTAAATACAGTTTCTCATGTTGTGACCCAGCCATGAAATTATTTTCGTTGCTACCTCATAACTGTAATGTTGCTACTGTTATGAATCGTAATGTAAATATCTGATATGCAGGATGGTCTTAGGCGACCCCTGTGAAAGGGTCGCGACCCACAGGTTGAGAACCGTGGGATTCTTAAGCAATTTAGGAACTAGGTGAACTTTTGAGGCACTTCTTTTCTCTCCTGGATTTCAAAATGAACTAACAAAGCGCTTTGCTTTTCATCCTTCAAACAAACTCATACCAAATGTTGACCTGGTCAGATGTCTGTTTTAGGAAATCTTACCGAGCGTTTAACGTACAGCTTTTTATCCTTTTATTCTGTATTATGCTATGGAATTTAAATGTTTTAAAACATATAGGTCTACAACTACCAGGTTCTTTTTTAAAAGTTCAGAGACGGCATAAAGAACTGAGAGAATGTAGCGACAGATCACAGAAAGCCAGGCGGACAGAAGCATTATGTATTTCAAGAAAGGGTAGGATCTTTGAAAATCATCTGGCTCAGATATAAACATTTGACGGGGTGGGAGGGAAGCCTTTGCAAGGGAAAGGGACTCTTTAATAAAGCGCTACTTTGGGGACTATTATTGGGTGGAAAATGGGAAATGTAGGTAAGGTGCACCGAGCTGATCGAGAGAGCCCATTTTGGGAGATTTTAAAGCTGAAGTTTGAGAGCCAGGCCCTCCCCTCCCTCTTCAAAATAAAGTCAGCAGACAATAATTAGTCTCAATAATTATATCGAGCACCGAGTGCAAAATTTTGCTAGAGGCACTGTAACACCCACTTCCAAACGAGAGGCCAGTTATTAGCTTTAAAAAGTGACTGTTTCTAAAAACAAGAAATAACCCATGTCTACTTGGGTAGCTACTTCTGGTTTTCACCCATTTCCCTATATACAGCTTAAGAAAGACGACTTTTCAACACCCACTTGTGAAATTGGGTAGGTGAAAAAAAATGGGAGCAGCTCAAGCAACAGGTTCTTCACGGAGTGTTTTGTTCCTGGAGGAGTGTGTTCCCAGAGCTATTTGCCACTTCACAACCCAAGAGCACCGCTATAAGGTCTTCCAACTTTCCCAACGGCTTAAAAAACGAAACACCTACCCTTAGTGTAGCTTTCTTTTGAGCTTTGTTTTTGTACTGCAAAAACAGGATGTGATCTTTCAAAACGTGCCAGATGACCAAACAGCCAACACTATCTAGCGGCAACAAATGCAGTCTGACTTCCAGAGGATAAAACAAGCCGGACATTTAAATTTTCCTTCAGGTTTTCATGTCCCAGGGAATGTACATGTCAATGTTGTTTTGTGTGTGAGATTTTTTTTGTTAATCCTCACCTGAGGATATTTTTTCTGTCGGTTTTTTAGAGAGTGGAGGGGGAAGACAGAAACATCTTTGTGAGACAGACATCAATTGGTTTGCCTCCCGTGCCGCCACAACCAGGGCCAGGGTACTTGCAGCCCAGGTACTTGGCTTTGACGGAATGGAACCTGCTGCAACCCTTCAGTCCACGGGCTGACGCTTACCACTGAGCCAAACCAGCTAGGTTATAGATTTGTTTTTAAATATTGACAAAATTAAGCTTAACAGTTTCTTGATAAGAACTTTCCCACTGAAGTAAAATTTCCACTGCTGTTCAAAAATACTATAGAACTTTGAGGGGAGAAAAAATTTTTTAATTTCTAGAGGTATTCATGCTTTTAAAAAAGCTACCTACCTGGCTGGTGTGCTCAGTGGTTGAGCATGGACCTATGAACCAGGAGGTTCCAGGTCAGTTCCAGGTCAGGACACATTCCCAGGTTGTGGGCTCCATCCCCAGTGGGGGGGCGTGCAGGAGGCAGCCCATCAGTGATTCTCATCATTGATGTTTCTATTTCTCCCTCTTCCTTCCTCTCTGAAATCATAAAAATAGACTATTAAAAAAAATAGCTACCCATATAGCAAAATTTAGTTTTCTGGAAACTACTTTGACCAATAAATTCAGAGCTTAAATGCTACATCTTTTTAACCTTTATTTTTTGAAAAACATGTATTTCATACAATCTTTGCCATGGTAATGCAAATATGCACAAAGTAGGCATGTATTTTTGTTTTCCAAACAATGCATTATGAACATTTTCAGGAAGCTGGTGTGATTTGTTCAACTTTTAATCTTAAATACAATCACAAAATTATATCCATCAGGAGGCATTACAATCTTTTGTACAGAGAAGCCACTTTATTTTATACAATGTTTACTAGGACAAGGGAGATTCAGTTCAACTCAATTTGCTCTTATAAGAAGGTAAAGTAAATTAACAAGTATGATGTTGCCACTGACATTACAGGTGGCAATTTAAACCAGAAAAATAACTGACACAAGAGCTTTAAATAGGAACTGAAACTGGGACTATCAGAAAAAGAAGAGGGGGAAGAAATCAGCCTGTTTCAAAGAAAGAAAACATTCTACAAGTCTGTATTTCAGAACAACATGCAATTCCTTGTTTACCGTCTTCAAAAGTACAGCTAATTGTATGACATTTTTACATTAGCACAACCAACAGCTTTTCCCTACTTACCCCAGTCTAATTCCCATAGAAAGTAAAAGACTCTAAACAGTTCATGTTGTACAATTAATCCTTGAACCTAGAAAGTTGCTCTAAGAGTCCATTTGCCCATTTGGAAGAAAGGCATGGTGATATGGTTACCCAGGCCTAAAAAGAAAAGTGCAGCAAACCCTAAGGGTCAAAAAACAGTGAATTTCCCCTTCCCAATGTTTGGGAAACTGTAATGCTAGTTTTTCTCCATAGGAAGAATCTAAAAACTCAAATAATGAAAACATCTATCTTCTTTAAGTGAACCTTGCATTACTATATCCTACCTCCTTGATTTAAGGGAGGGTCGGGTAGTTCTAGCTTTGAACTACTGTCATTTTACAAACTCAGGAATACAGAAGGTCACTGATTTTTTATGCATCTAATTTTATGTAAAACAATGGTATTTAAATGTGCTAATAGAAAAGCATTCACTGATTTTTGATGTAAGATGAAAGGACTAACAGGCCAATTGAGGGTGTTCTTCTTTAATATAAAAAGAGTTGGGAGAAAAGGACCAGCTTCTTCCTGCCAAAACAAGTAAGCCCCCAGAGAAGTCACAAATATGTGGAGGAAAATAGGCCAGGAAGACTTTTCAGTTTAAAGTACTGCCTATAATACCCCAGAGTTAAAAGAACCTAAGATTGCACATCAACTCTAATATTTGGCTGTACTTGCATTGCCCTGCGTGGCATTTTTTAAATGGCTCTTCCCCTTAATTTCACACATCAAGAATAACCACAAAATCATGCAGAAACACCAAACATTGGACAATATTTTTAAAAACTACATACTAAACTTAGTTAATAAAGGCAAGTGTTAAGGGCAGAAGTGATGAAAGTTTTTCTTTGTATTACAAACCCTCACCCTGAACCTAGGTTTGGGCTCTTAATAAAAATAATTTAAGGAAACAGATCAAGAGCTTGATTATCAGTTCTCAAAGAAATCTTACATATCTCAAAAACAACTCACCACAGTGTCAGACACAAAACCTACTGTCACCTAGCAAACTGTTAAGAACTCAGAAATACTGTTAAAACACACCAAAGAAACAGTAAAAGAGAAATACACTATAAAACCATTAAGCCTCCACAGCTTTGTAGAGAAATCAATATTTAGGCAATTCTAGAAAATTAAAGACAACAAAGACAATAAACTTCAATTTCCAAGGGTACTTTGAATGATAGGTTGTAGGTTATTCTGTACCCCCTGAATTCGAGAAAGAAAAAGAGAGGAGCAGACCCCCGGTTTTCCAGAGGTATTCTGTATCATTAAAAATGTATGACTTCATAACCACAGCACTCTAAACTTTACATTGTAAAAGACAATCCCCAAAATATAGCCCTGACTTCTCATTCTGCTTTATCACCAGGGTTTTTTACTGTTGATTAACTCTCTAATTGTTGAGTTCTCTTACAGCAGTTTAAAACAGCAAGGCTACTAGTACTTACAGAATCACTTCCCAGAGGAAGCCAAACTGTAGAGATTGG